CTGCCACGACCTTCATTTCTCCTCACACCCAGTCACCGGCACAATGTCAGAGCAAACAGCCTCTCTAGCAGCTCCAAGCACCCGACTGCTTTATTTGCTGCTCACGAATGCAACATGACCACACCAATTTTGCAGAGCCATTTACAATTCTTGTAGCCTGAACTGTAATTTCATGCAGTGGTTCGCACACACTTTCTGCACACTTTCCTAATGGGTGCTTTTTTCAATTTAGCTTTCAGCTGAGCTGTTTCAGTTTCCATTTCTGTCTCCACGCTTCCTGTAGCCAGGTTCAATATGGCTGCATGTGCAACGTTACCACGCTGGAGGAAAACCAAACAAATAATTTATGTTGGCTTGAGGCTACATACAGATCAGCTTAACCCTCTTGACTATCCTTATGCCACAGCTGACAATTTTTGATAATCCTTCCCGTTATCATTGTTTCTTTCTAAAATACCTTCTGCTTAACTGTAAAACTCAACAGAAAATTCACGGGGACAGAAACCAGCATGCCTCTCTCACTGTAAGGAAAACTGCGCAAGTGATGCAAGCAAAAGAAGTTAAAAAATAATAAAATAAAAGGAACACAGCAGAGGACAAGAGCTGATCACATCAGAAGTAAGCTCCCCAAGGCCGCTTCTGCACTCATTACCTACATCTCTATCAGGTGGGATTTCTAGGGGTAAAAGCTAAGGATTTGCCATTAACAAGTTCAGCTGTTTCAAAACTACACCTGTGCCATGGGATGACTGAAATTTTAATGCAGCCATGCTGCACAAGGACTCAAACTCAACTGTAATAAAGAAGGGAGAACAAGGATGGAAAAGGAAAGGCGATTTAAAAAGAAAACAATCTGTACAGCGTATTGTGCACAAGCACCTTCCTGTCTGCTGCTGACAGCCACAGCCGGCCTTCTCCAGATCTCTGGTTCCCCCCCCTCCCCCCCTTACTGTTCTTCACGAATAGCACAGGTTATTTTCCCAGTCCCTCCATACCATCACACAGGTCACATACCCCTACACTACGCACCCATTGCAACTAAACCACTCACACCACTGGCAGAAACAAACACCATAGCAAGACTACATCCTCCTCAGCCCAGTGGGACAAACAGCCCTACCTCAGAGGCAACTGCTCCTGCTGCCAAGGGAAGTGAGCACCACAGTGAGCACCACGAGGCCAAGAGATCTCTCCCTCCTGGCACAAAGTCCCTCCTGCTAGAGGTGGGCTGACAAAACCCTCACAAATTTCAACAAGAAGACTGTCATCCTGCACCTCAGAAGAACAGCCCTGTGTATCAGGACATGCTGGACACCCATCTGGAAAGCAGCCTGGCAGAAAAGACCTGGAGATCCCGGTGACCACAGAGCTGAACATGAACCATCAGTGTGCCTTGCCACTAAGCAGGATAATGGTGTTCTTGGCTGCATTAGGCAAAACATCGCCAGCAGGTCAAGAGAAGTGCTCCCTCCTCTCTACTCAGCATTGGCAAGGCCACACCTCAGATACCACATCCAGTTCTGGGCCCAACAATACAAAACAAGTACAGACATATTGGAGAATTTAAGATATCTCCACTTACCTTTGATCAAGGGACTGCAGCTCTTCCCCGATGAGGAAGGGACTGGGGCTGCTCAGCTGGGAGAGAAGGCTCAGAGGAACACCATCAGTACATCATCCATTGCTCCTAGAGGGAATGTGCAAAGAGGACAGAGCCAGGCTGTTCTCTCTGGTGCCCAGTGGCAGACAGTAGTTTCCTCTGAACACCAGAAAGCACTTCAGGGCTTCATAGGTCGCCAGAGCACTAGCACAAAACTGCCCAGAGACTGTGAAGCCTCCTCCTTGGAAACATCCAGAAGCTGCCTGGTCAGGCTGCTCTGAATGTCTTCATGCAAGCAGGGGCTGGGCTACAAATATCCCAAGATCCCCACCAGCCTCAGCTGTGGTGCTGTGATTACACCCAGGTGCAGTGAACGAGGTACAGGGCTGGGCTAGGGCCCAGGCCTGCCCTGCTCAGCAGCTGTGCCCACCAGGCTGGGGCTGAGTCAGAAAGTGAACCTTCCCACTTGAACACACAGATTAGGGCAAAATTGCTTTCTGTGTTAAGTCAAGCTCACAATGCCACCAGGGAGGCTGCTGAGAATGCACGAGGAGCTTGAACAAAGAGTAAAACGGACAGTTCAGAGAATGGGAACAACAGCTTTTGGAGACCTCAAAATAAAAAGAAAATTAAAAGTACCTACCTTCACTCCAGAAATTTTCTCTGTTCTAGCAATTACAGGGAATGCATAATAACTTTAGACAAAATAAAGCAGACTTTCACATTGGTCATTGAGCAATATCAACAACTGAAGGTCCTGTCAGAGCGCACTCTGCAGTGGATGCAGGAACGAAGGTAAAAAGAGCTCCTCCTTGAGCTCCTCGGCTGCTCCTGGTACAGTTTAGCCTCAGCTCTGCAGCCTGAATGCTTACGTCTTATAGCTGTCCTTTTGAAGATTAGGTTCCCAATCTCATGAAGCGTGAGGAGGCGACAGGCTAAGATCATGCTTTGGAGTATGAAGCACAAACACGGCTGCAAAGTTCACAGGCTGAAGTCCTGAAGAGTAAAACTTTACATTCACATCCAGATCGGTTGCTGGCCCACAGGAGCAGTGATTTTAGTATGGATTTGCAGACAGCTGGTCCAGATTGGAGTCCACTGTGCTTCACAGAACACCTGAATCCACTTTACAGCAGCCCTGCACTTGTAAATCATGGTTGTACTGACACACACAGAAGGTAGAATTCAGAGGAAACAACCTGAGCTGCTCACAAGTAAAATGGTAATATCAAACTTTTCTATCAACAGTGCTCTGGGTGCAGAACAGCAGCAACAAAATGGCAAGCCAGAATTCTAGAGACTAACTTAAAATCTCCTTGTTACTCTTAAAGTACATATTCAACCCATTAAAAAGCACACCAAAGCAATTATAATGTATAAAATAGTTTATTACTATAATAAATAAAATTAAACTTTTTTTTTTACAAATATTATTTGTGCTTGTTTAAAAATGTTTAACAGGGATATCATTAATGTAGGTGGCTGCATTTGTAACTGAAACATTCCAAAACAGTGTGTATGTGCACACACACTGTCTATCTATTGGCAGCTGCTTTGCTGACCACAAAAATAGTATCTACTCGTTCTCTTTGTCTGATCATGCTTCATTGAACAAAGTGACAAATGCAAAGAAAAAGAAACAGGAATATTTGGTGGATTTTGGAAAGGATAAAACCAAGTGAAATACATTTAAAAGCTCCAAAGCGACTGCATTAACTGCATATCAATAAAGTGTCCATGCAGTGGTGGCTAAATACCGAAACGCAGACGGGTTTCCAACAGATGTACAAATATTGATTGTATGTAAGTACAATAGTCTAACACATTCATTAGAAAACTCCATATTTCTTTATATAGCAGTTCATCCTGATACAAGATTATTGAATGTCTCTCATCTACAGCTAAAAGGATTCTTTTTCTATGTCTGGTCACACCTTCAGTGGGAGGAAAGGAAAAAGACATCAGCCTTTCAGAACAGCAAGTGAAAGCCCCAAACTGCTTTGCTGACATCAGGCATTTAAATCCAGTTATGGAGATGCTCTGGGATTACACATCAAATATGTTTACACGACACTCAACAATCAGCTCGGAACAAATTACGGCTGCAGGTAAATTCACAGTAGCATTGTTGCACTGTAAAATAAAGTCTTCAAAACAAACACTTTTGTGATAGGTCGGGCTTGGATCCCCAATAACACAAAAGTGTTCACACAATAATTATGTCTGTTTTGGAAATGGAGAGGACTATTGGAGTAATTTATTATCCTAATAAGAAGGCATTAAGTGGAGAAATAAGCGTGATTACCAACAAGTGATTTCCATTAGATTTAGAAAGCTAATCAAAGTGCTTTATCTTTAGGCAACATTGTAAATACTACAGAACATGAAGAAGGAAAGAGAATGGAATCACAGTTTGAAACGTTTCACTTATGAAAGGGTCTTAAGGCTAAACGTTGGCTATATCTTATTGCAAAAAGCATTATTTTTATTTAGTTGAATCAATGCTTGCCACAACAATGTGGTCAAAAGTATGTCAGATTAGTGGATACAGTAATCTACTGTACTATACCTCACATTTCTGGAGCTTCCCCTGCCCGGGTCTCTCTCTAAAAGGTTTCTGTTAATAAATCAGAAGTGCGGCTGAAACACAGACATTGTTATTGCCAATACACACACAGGAGACTACAGAGAAAGGAAGAATTAAGTAGATGCTCTTCACCACCTAAGACCAGGCCGAGAAAGCAGAAGTGCAGTGACCAAGTGTCATGTGAGAAGGACAGGCTCAGCACCTGAGACAGCCCCCAGTGCCAGGAAAAAGAAACCCTCCTGTTCCACAGTCCCTCCTGCAAGAGAAGCCAGGAGAGGCAATACCAGGGCACCTTGGCTTCAGAGGTACTGTGAGCAAGCAAGAAACAGTGGCTTACAAGCTGTTTTCCCACCAGCTATGATACAGCATTTTTCCAATTTCACATACATTTCTGGTTCCTGACTAACAGGATCTCTCTCCTGACTAACCTGCCAGATCTCTCAGTCACAATATCAGCCAAACTAACTGTATGAAGCTGTGACTGCTAGAGAAACCAGTAGGTATGGCCTGAAAGTTCAACATTTAACAAACAAGATGCTAGCTAGCACATTCAGTGGGTAGCTAAGGGGAAGATTTTAGTTCCCTTCTTGAACTGTAATCATTAAGTGAAGGATGTGCTTTTACATAACAGAAATCAATCCATATTATCTATTGTCTATACACAGATACTATATATACGTGTGTATGCACACGCAACGGCACAAGCGTAGTCATACACATTGCTGTTTGTATAGCAAAGACAAATCGTAGTAAATTCTTTCACAGACTGTGATTGAAAAAATATCACCAGATATTCACAGTAAATATCTTGTGCAGTTCATTAAAGTGAAGTACTGTAGAAGCAGAACATCACCTTCGAAGCTGCTAAACAGGGTGTTCGCTGGGATTCAGAGCAGCACTGTGAAAGAGATTTAAAGCAAGAATGGTGTTTGTAAAAGTATACAGGTAATACCAGACAGAAGTCAATGTAGCTGAACATGGAAGGGATGAGGGTTGGGTTTTGCTTTTTAAATCCTGTGCTGCATATTGGTATTCTTGTTAAGTATGAACTTCTACAAGCTCCCTTTGTAACAACCCTGAGCCCCAGCTCTTCCTCTGAACTACCAGCTTTTGACTGAAATCTCATTCCACCATAGGGTAAAAATGGGACACAATCTCTTGTTCGTTAACACGGGTTGTTTAGCAGGTAGTTAAGTGGTGGAAGCACTGTGCCAGAACACAGAATGTAAACCGCTTCCTTGTTAAGGGGCAGAATCTCATGTTCAGAGGTCATCCATTTCTAAGATGAAAAATAATTTAAGTGAAAAGGCTTACCCAACACAAATAAAAGGAAAAGCTCACAAATAAAATGGAAGAATAAGTAACAATTACCGTGGATATGCGCACCACCCAGCCTTAGGCATCCAAGTTTAAGGCTCAATGGAGAAAGACAGATTTACAACATAGCTGCTTTCAGTCACTCCCTAAACAAATCTCTCTTCATCTGCTGAGCCTGGGCAATACACTACAGGTCCAAACTAGTCTGAGGGTCAAAGGAGTCCCATAGCAGACAAGGTTTCGCTTATTTACCACTAAGTAGCCCAGGGAATCCAAAGACCAAAGCTCATCCTAAATATTATATTTTTTCAGATTCCTTCACAATACATAGTGGTTACTAAGGGATGATGCAGTCTTCTACAACTAGCTTTAGTACCTGCCAGTTCATGAAATCATAATAAAATAGTTCTGACTTGTTAGAGCTGTGCAAATCTCAGTGACATTGCCCACTTCAGTGCTGACCTGGAGCAGATGCCTTGAAGGTGTCATTGGAAGGAGTGCAAGTTCTTCTGGAGATTCATGACTGCAACAGAATCAAATTTGGCCATAATCTTCAGTGACATTACATTTTAAGTGTAATTCCAGAGTATATTACAATCTTTGAAAGCTATACGAGTGGATTATAACTGACTTTATAGGCTCTTAAAAAGGCCTCATAAAAGCCTTAAAAATGGACTCTGTGCTTCACCCAGCCCTGGCCATGGAGCACGTACCTGTGTTCCAAACTGAACTAAACTTCAGGCTGCACTTGGAGTGCCCTCAGAAATGGGGACTTATGCTCCTTTACTCACCGAACCGCATGTGGTGATGCAAATAATTGTGAGGCTTCTAGGATTAACCCTGCCTTGACTCCAGGATTAGGCAATCAGCAACACCAGAAAAACCTTAAACATATCCCTGAGGACACATGAAAGATACCACTGAGAAACGTTAACATGGACTCAGCAACAGAGGACTAGGTAACCTGCAACTGTGGATCTAATCCTACATCTGCACTGCAACACTTGAGACGTTAGGCACATACCTTGGGGGCAACAAACATTTCCCCTCTTATCTGTCTGGGATAAGCTAATTTCCATGTTTATCAGACTGCAGGTAGCTGGCTGCCAGCTGAGTTCAGCAAGACTTCCAGCCTTTCAAACATGTTACAAAGGAAACACAACGCTGATGAGTAATTTGCCTGGATTAGAAAACTGGCACCAAGTGAACCGCTCAAACCCCTCTGCAACTCTGGGGCACTGATTACAAATACATGTATACTTGCAAACCTGTAGTTTATTTTTACCTAATTTCACTGCCCAATGAATTTACTGACCGAGGAGTTCGGAGAGGAAAACACATAGTAATTCTAATCTGAAACTGCAGTTGTATGGATCCCTTATGGAAATGGCATAGCTATTGCAGGTAGCTGTTGCCATTCATAGTGATTAAAGCACCGAACACACCGTGACTTTGGTCAAAAAAGCTCTCCTCAGTATGCCCCAGACATAACTGCAAAAGACACCAGCTTCCACTGGAAAAACCCAAACTTGGAACTAGAAATAAATATAGGAAATGGCACCTCTGTTTCACTGTTTCCTAGCAAGTCACTTCTGTAATGCCTTTTCTTTCTGTAGGGGAAGTAGAAAGTTGCAGACAGATTTGATCCAGATGCATTTCGGGAATCTTTCAAGACTTGATTAAAATTTATTATTTGTGGACACTCCTGTACTGAACCAGCATGCAAGACCCTTGAAAGCTAACCCTAAAGCAGCTGCAAACTGCAGTGCTGTCCTCAGAACAGATAAAACAAACTTACTGCCTTCAAGGCCTGAGCTCGTAGCTTTGCATAGCACAGTCCCAATACCGTGTGTGCAGTTTCACTGGTGGGCCTTGCACTTCCCCAAGGATGTATGGCATAATTCTGCATGGCCCCATGCAAGCATTAGGCCACCAGAAATCCTTCCTAATTGGTCATTTCCCTTCTCTCTTCCTTACTTAACCCAAATCTCATATCTGCTCCAAAAATTTATGTGTTTTTTTTAATGTAAATGAGTTAGTACCATAGAAAAAGAATGAGAACTACTCCCACAGTGTGTTAGGACCTACTGCCAGTGAGAATGAAAAGCTCAACAGTTGCACCATGCTTCTGGACAATAACCTACGGTTAAATAGTGAGCATACCAGACCAGTGGAGAGAATTTACTGCAGATCTATACCTATGTCCCAAGGTATGGAATCTTCTCTGCTACCCTAAATAATGAATAATGAACAGTCATTTTGGTAAAGTGCTTCAATCTTCCTCCAAAAAAGTTATGAAAATATAAGTTTTGGAAACATCTCCTTCTTTAAGAAGCAGATCTTCTTGTTTCCTTGCTACAATAGCACTTGTATACAGTAAGCACTGTGTTTCTACCTCCATTTACTTTCTACATAGATTAGATCAATAACAATACATCCGGATATAGAGAAAAATGCCACAATTTAAATTCTATGAAAGTTCTGTGAAAGCCTTTGGCTACAAGGAACACTACCAAAACAGAAACTTCTGAATAATAATTTAACAGGAATCAAAAGAGCAGATTCATAGCAAAGACAGGACATAATTGCTACAGTATATTTTCACAGGGAGGCAAATCTGCAGAATGGTTATTGACACTGACACACAACACATTCTGCAGTGGGCAGAAAGTGTTCTGCACGTTCTGCAGGTACACAGCACACCCAAACCTCTGTCCTCCAGCAGAAATTAAAAACACAGGTAATGTTCTACGACATCTGAGACAGAAGTCAAGATTTTGAAAATCAATATCCTGACTCAAAGAATGAAAATGTGGATGAACCCATTTACTAACAGACTTGAGGGGTTTTTTTGTGTGTTGTTTTTTTGGTTTTTTTTTTTTTACATTTTTTCCCATCTTCTTAGCTGTCCCTTGACTACCCAAAAGTAACTTTGGTATTGAGTAGCACAAATTCTACTCCTCTTTGCTTTATTACAAGTACATGAAAATATACTGTGGCATTTAACATGCTGTACGGGTGACTGAAACAGTGACAACAGCAGCAGCAAAAAAAAAAAATGCTGAAAGCACAAGCACCCTGGCCAGTCCTTATTCATATAGGCAAAAACTGAGCTAACTACATAAGGCATGCTCCAAAAACCTAAGAGGTCACCTGGCGCTCACAGGGATGGCTGCTGCTTTCGGAGCTCTTATTCCAACATCCTGAGGGAGAAAGAGGGAGTGGGGACAATGGGCACCAATGGAGAAAAGAAAAGCTTTATAAACTGTACCCTTGCTGTCAAAAAGACTTCAGAGCCAGCTGCCATCTTGACATGAGGTTGCAATTCCTGCTACTGTACCTTTTTAGACATAGGGAACATGCTTAGTGAATTGGTCCCTCACTTGTTTTCAAGATTAAATTTAAAATGTTAGGGGGGGGTGTTCATTTGATTGACTGTTTTTTATAAAGGAACACCTCAGCTAGCTCCAAACATGTCTTTTTCTGATTCTGGAGACTGGGGCCTTGATATTTCAAACAACTCCTGTGGTGACTGGGAGCTTCTTCTTGAGGTCAATATCCTAAGTATCTCAGCGAGCTGTTTTTCTATATTGGTCATTTTTGTGTTTAAAGCCTTGATGTCCTCTTTCAATTCGTGTTTCACTTCTAGCATGGTAGCCTGAAGAGTCTGTTCTGGGATAGGATAAAAGGAATGCTTGACCTCGGTGAGGACCGGGCTGCGGTCCTGTGGGCTTCTTGTCTCCCCAACGTTATCCAAGCGCAAGTCACTTTTTGTAATGCCACTGTCACAAGAGTCTGTCTTCTTCAGGGTAGCTTCTCCTGAAGCTTTAGTTCTCTCTGGTAACGTCTCCATAGATTCTGCTTTAGAGACTTTATTCCAGTCTTCACCTTTCCCACAGGCGTCTTTGAATTTGGCCCAGCCTTTTCTCCGGGGGTAATCCCCTGATGCTTTACATCCTGTGTACTCTGACGTGGGGGCCTGAAGCTTTGCCTGGTCAGAAGTCCCAGAGGTTGAAGCTGACTGATATGACACAGGGGTTGCAGGGCTCTCCCGTACGGTCACAACGCTGGCTTTGACCACTGAGCGTGCGGAGGAGTGCTCGCCTAGGATGTTGCCCTTCTCCACATCCAGGTCGTCTGGATCTCTGCCTCTCTCAGCTGCAAGCCGTGCCTCCTTCTGCTGCCTGAACCTCTGAAACAGTCGGCGGACAGGGTGATCTGGTGGCAAAATCAGGGGGGCTTCATTCTTCCTTTTCATTCTCTCCTCTTCTTCTCGTTTCACATCGCTGATTTTCCGGAATACAATCTACATGGGGAAAGAGATTTCAACGCTGTCATTAACTGCAAGTTTGTTAAGGAGAGGAGTTGTAGAGAAATAATTATTTGAAAGATTTTATTACTACTGACAAATGAATAACCTCTGCACATTTATAGCAACATTACCACAGTTCTCAAGTGTCTTATTTTGTGAACGTGGCTTTGTTCGTTGTTTAAAAGCATACATCATCTGTCTTACAACATCAGAAAGAAAAAGCTCTTCAGTTCCAAGAAGCCAGCAAGGCAGTGCCATTCTAAATGCAATGATCCCAGGAACTTACTTGCTCTGTTTTGTATCATAAATGACTTCTTATATTTGTTTTTCTGAGTCTACGTTTGAGCATCAATTTTCTAGAGTTACAAAGACTCTCTTCCAATCTTATAGCAGCCTCGTCCCAGAGCTCACTTGCTATACATCACACAAAAGTTCTGATATTTTAAGGAAGCTTGGCACTAATAGAGTGAGCACAGCAGAGATGAGTCTGGACTCTCCAAGCAGCAGTCTGCAAAGTACTTCTTGTACAGTCCCTCCCACACTCTCTTCTAGAAGCAACGTGCAGATTAGAAACAATGCAAAACTCAAGTTAGTCCCAGTGCTACAAGGACAATGAAGAATGAGCTCTGAGAGATGAGGAAAAGCTATCCATGGCTGATGACTACAGCAGCTTGAAGAGCTTCTCATTTTATTTTTTCATTTTTATGTGAAAATACACTTTTTTGCAGGAAGAAACATTACTTTTCTGTCTGTTCTCCTAACCAAGCCTTCCTGAACCTGTGAGCTAAGCAGTCTAAGAGAGCAGCCTAGGGGCTTTCAGTACTGATTTTTATATTTATATTATTACTGGTGGAATACTGAAGGTGATCCACTAAGCAATTTGTTTTGAGGCTTCAATGCAGAGCATAAAAGATGTAGACCCCAGCTTCCACAGAACACTGTCACCTGATGTCTTCAGTTGCCTTTGGGAAAACCCACTCTAAATCCTTATGCTCCAGAAATAACTTTCTGATTCAAATCATTACTAGTAAATATGTAAACAAACCCACCCCTCCAGTGCAGAGAGATTTAAATTAAAACAAACATAATAAGCACTGATTCACTGGCACACACACACAGCGCATGTTGCTTCTGACTTCAATGCTTCTTGACAGTTCTGTCATTGTGAAGCAGGGAAAAACACTATCTTAACATTGTGTCTTCAGGAAGAAGTTGTCAGACTTGGCAGCATTACCCAGATGCAAAAGAATAAAATTAGCACAAATGATATTTTATTTCCAAGCTGCAATTAGGAAGCCAAATGTAAGATAAGTAAAATGAGTATTTGACCGTACTACTTTTTTTCCAGGAAACTTAGTCTGCAGCAGGCTCAGTATAAGGTGGACAAAGCATAATCCTTAGTAGTGAAAGAATAACACTTACGGGAATGGAGTATCAATACAGTGATCCAGGATAATGGCTTCCCACATGCTGGCAGTTCTCACTTTAAGTGAAGGAACAGTGCCAGCCCGAAGCAAGAGCAGCTGCCCTGCATGCACTGCTGGAGCCTTGCTGTGTTGGGGGTCAGTCTTGCAGCAGGCCCAGGCTGGCTCTGGCTGCACTGAGCTCCAGCAAAGCAAGGCAGCTATAAACCAGATCAATTTGTCTCTGCAAACTTCTGCATCCCCAAGCACACCCTCTGCTGGAGCTTGCGTGCTTGGTGCTGCTGTGGACATCTATGACCTGCACGGTGCCATGCCAGGCAGACGCGCAGTTAGCAGGGCCACTATCTCTTTGCCCATGAGCATGTTTCTGCATGTGAGCAGTCTCAGTCTGACCTATGGATCTGGTCCATGTTTTCCCTCAGTGCTCAGAAGAGACGTACAATTGGGTGCTGCAATTGTCACCATTACAGAGTCACCAGGGACAGCACCGTGGTGCTTGAAAGAGCTGAAGGCCAGGCTGCTTCATAGAGTCCTTGTCCAGTTCAAGTCCTGCTCAATGCAGTCTGCTCAGCATTTTGTCTTCTAAGCACTGGATTATCTCTGACCTTTTAGTTATTGGCTTTTCTAACATAAATGAAGGTGTTATTTGACAGAAGCTGCTCCCACTACTGCCCAATACAGATGAGAAGGCAATGGAGTAAGTTACAGGCAATAACTGCTTAACTCATACTAGCCACTGTGTCCCATACAGCCCATGGCACAGGCTCCATGCTGGAGTACAAGAAAAGCAGATATATCAGCAAACACAAAAAGGCAAACACTGAGATGTATTGTTGGCAGTTCTCATCATCCTCACAGGCACTGCTGCTTCCTGCAACACTGCCTAGGTGAGGCCTGTTGGTTCCAAGCATGGCTGGGTGTGCCACCAGCCTCCTCACTGAGGGGTGCTCTGCCTTACGGCCCCGAGCATGCCCACTCCTTTCCTGCAGACCAGGCTGCACCACAGACAGGAGCCTACGTGGAGGGATCAAGTACATAAAATATTGCATTTATCTTGGTCTCCTCACTAGCATGCGAAGGAGGCATGCATTTCCATTTTCTACGTGAGGCTTTATACCAGCCACAAGGCAGTATCACACAGTAGCAATCACCTGCATGAATGCAGAAATGCAGTCCTCACATCTCTTGTCCTGTTCAACATATCTACTTATGTGACAAATTGCGCTCATGCAGTGCAAATTGAAGCTTGTGTGAATTTGCTAGGGGACACAGCCTCCAACTCTGGGGTTGGCTGCTTTACCAAACTCATAAGACACCAGAGAAATACCTGCCAGACTGCAACCTGTCTTTGGGAAGCCCAGGAAAAGCTGTCACTGGTCCCATTTTTGGCAAGCTCCTCAGCACTACGTTTTCTGAAGATAGCTCCATGTTATGTATGGAGCAAAGGTTTTATAACCATGCAAAGATCAGCAGTAATTGAAAAGACCTTTTCTACAACTGCATTTTGGATTTTTGTTGCTGCTGTCTCGTTTAAGGCTAAATACAAATCCTGAAACATAAAAAATACAAATAACTACTTTAAAGGGACACTTTTCTTAAAATTGTTGGGGAAAAAGCAATCTGTAAGTGATAAAAGATTTGGAAGCATCCAAGATACGCAGAAAATGTGTTTGTTATGCTGACATATATATACCTGCTCCCACAATGAGCCCAAGTGCAAAGGAAATAAAAGTAGTTTTCATTTGTTACGAGAAAGAGAAGTATGGACCTACACAGTAGTTTTAATGTAGAATTTGATAGGGCTATAAACTGAGGTTAAATCCCCAAATATGCCCAAGCTCCTAAGACAACTTTTAGTTCAATTTCTCTTTATCAATCTTTCCAAGCATTAATTTTTTTCTGGGAAGGAAGAATGTAGAGGTTGTACCCTCAGAATTTCCCAAGCTGCATTAAACTCCAACCAGTGCGAAAAGGTCAACTTTGCAAACTGTGCACTTCTCCATAACATCATCATCTGCAAGAGCAAAGCATGCAGAACAGTGGGAGCATTTTAGAAGTATGCAAAACCCTAACTGTGTTAGAAGAGCCTGAACTGAGATGAAGTAACAAGAAATACAAACACTAGGCATAAAAGCGCACCCAACACACTTCCATTCTCAAGTCTTTGATTAAAAGGTGCTGAATCTTTTAGCTCTACAGGAAGGCCTCCCAGGATGCCAGAAACATGAGTACTGGGGGGATATTAGCCTAGATTTGCATAATAATAATAATAGTACAGAAAATAGCTCTGTTAGGCACAGAATTCTGCAAATGCCTCATAAACATTTGACTGAGGTATAACTGAGGCAGTTATGGTGACACTGTAACAATTTTATTTTTGGATAATACAATCAGAGAAATGGAGAAATGCACTGATACCTACAAGCACATCCACGCCCCCAAATGTGCCATTGATCCATGATAGCATAGACTGTGTAGCTGCATTCCTGCCTGTGCATGAGCAGTGTCTGAGGAAGAAAGACAGGATTACATCCAGCAAATCTTCCTTTCTTCAGTATATGTGCTGAACTCTTCAGTAAGCTTGGGGGCAAAGTTCTGTCTCTTTTTATCTTCAAAGAGTTCTCAGGCTGTACGCATAGAATCAATGCTTTCAGAGTTTAAGGTCAATATTTATCCTCAAAGTATTTAAAAAAAGAAAAAAAGGTGAATGTAGATGAATACCTGCACTATCTCTTTGGTTATCAAATGTGGCATGCCCATCAACTATCAGAAGAGGAGGCTCAGGGGAGACCTCATCGCTCTCTACAACTGCCTGAAAAGAGGTTGTGGCAAGGTGGGGGTCGGCCTCTTCTCCCAGGTAACAGCAACAGGATGAGAAGGAATGGCCTCGAGTTGCGCCAGGGGAGGTTCAGTTTGGATATTAGGAAACATTTCTTCTCAAAAAGATTGGCAATGTATTGGAACAGGCTGCATGGGGAGGTGGCAGAGTCACTGTCCCTGGAAGTGTTCAAGAAACATGTAGACGTGGCACTGAGGGACATGGTCAGCAAGCACGGTGGGGATGGGTTCAGGTTGGACTATGTGATGTTAGTGGTCTTTTCCAGCCTTAATGATTCCATGATTCTATTATTTAGATCTTCCTGGGCTCAGCACTCAAACCCAAGCACCATTTAAATAACTCAGCATGGGTATTTTGCATTAATAAGATTTTCTTAATTTCTTTATGGTAAGACTAGAAGAAAAGCCTGCAGTGGCTTCCAGTGTAGGGTAGGCAACAAGTTTGCTCTGAAGGGAGATTCCCAAAGAGAATCTTGCAACAACTAGATTATTTCTTGTAGAAAAACATCCTATTTGGCAGCAATAGAGAATCCATCATCACATCTTGATAAAAGATCCCTACAGGTTTTGCTTCAAGGCTGAGATTATTTGACGTCAGCAGCAATTCTGTTCCTTCATCCCTCACACTGTTGAACATTTACTTTTAGAAACTAATTCTAGAGTCTTACGTTCAAAAATCTCTGCAGAGGTAGTACAGCTAATGTACCATTGTTTTAAATTTTCAATGTAACA